AAATCAAATTAAAAAAATCAGGTTTATAAGATGTTTAAAATTTAGTCCAATGATAACTACAAATAAAAATTGTAATTATATAATAAATAATTAAAGGCACTATATTGAAAATCATATGGCATTGGTTTGTCGATAAACGAACAATTACTATTACGCTAATGGCAGTTCTGTGCCTTTTTTATTCATACGCCTTGAAATCGATTAAGAAGCGATTAAAAATTGACAGGTGTTGCGATAGGTATCTAATTCTGCATAAATAATAAATAAAACTGCATCACATGCAGCAATTGTTTATTTATGGCTGATTTTGTTTCCAACTTAAACATTGAGGATTCTGAATTGTATTTGATTCAGGCGGAGTTCGTTTTCTGGAGCCCCGACTAGAACCTTCTTGGGCTTTTCAATTTGTGAGTTTCTTGTGACACATCTAGAGTTAAATTTCGTTCGATGGGAGATGTAGAAATTTAAAACAGGCTGAGAAAGAGGATTTTTTTTCAAAATTTTTATATTTATTGACTATGTATGGAAGTAAATCATTACAATCTGGCGTTAACAGAGGCCGCTCCTACTCTAAGAAAAAGCATAATTATACTCGAAATGACGTATCTTTGGTTATATTGTTGATAATGTATGCTCACATTTAAAAATTAAGATAATTGTACTAAACCATAACGGAATGTAGTTAAATATTTTTTCTCATGATTTGTTCTTTTGAAAACATATGCTTACCATTCGTTGATTATTAAATGTTTTAATTATATGACCTCATCCTGCTTTAGTATAGAGTATAATTATGTTATCAAAAGCCTTGAAATATTTTTTTTTTACAACCTTAATTACTCTTGTATAAGTTTTCCAATAAACGTGAATTTGAATAAAACTTGAGTGAATTTTGATTGTAACTTGTTTGAAAATATTGTAAATTAATTCTGTATCGAAAGCAGAGTAAGTTTTTGTGGCAATGTAAAGCTAAACCCTCACTCCCTAGCATCAAACTCTCTAGAATTTTTTTTATTTTTGGGAGTGAGATCCCGAACAACCGATGTAATACGATCAAACAACTAATCAATTTTCTCTAAAAATAAATGAACGTTCTTAAAAACAATAAACAAATCAAGTCAAATGTAACACTACAATACAATTATTTATTGACTATGTATGAAAGTAAATCATTACAATCTGGTGTTAACAGAGGCCGTACTTTAAGATAAAACATAATTATATTCCAAGTGACGTATCTTTGGTTATACTGTTGATTATGTATGCACACTTTTAAAAATCAAGAAGTCAAAAAACACGCTATTTCTCTATAATTTTTTTTTCCAAAAAATTGTTTGCCCAGATATCATCGAAATTTCGAAATAACCCGTATAGTGAGTGAATGGTGGAATCATCTATTACTTTCTATATAATGATTTTTTTTGCAATATTGTTTATAAAATTAAGAATAAAAATACTTTCGTTATATTTGAGGAAAGCCTTTATCTCTTCTCATTCCACCTTCTATCTATTTCACAACCCTCAGGAAATTAAATCACTACTCTGAGAGTGATTAGTTGTCTCGTAGCGAGATCCAAATTCCTTACTCTATCCAAAGAAACCTTCACCACATCTTCTTTTCCTTTAATTTATACAAGACCTTAATAAAATTGGTTGATCGACCTCTTTTTCGAAATCTTCGGAATTCATTAAACCACAGTAAGTAAACAAATAAAAGTGTGGTGAGCAATTGATACCTTTAATGGATATGATTCTTGAGAAATTTTTGGCTTCTAAAGATTTTTATATAAATCAAATTTAATACAATCATAGAGAAATATTGGACATTTTCAAGAAATCTTGGAGTTAGCAATTGTTTTGTGGACACATTCAATATAGCATAGGAGGATTCATGGGCATGGCTCCCCCTCCCCTCCAAAATTAAAAAAATAACTAGGTTTTATAATTGCCTATTTACCTCTTCCATTGGTAAATATTTATTTTAGATTCCCTAGTCCGACGTTTCGGGTTTCTTACTCGTCTTCGAGGACAATCTATTCATTGATACATTAAAAATATTTTAATATGTTATTAAGAATAGTTCTATTTATATAGAGAGAATGAATACAATATTTTAATATACTTAGTAGTTGCTATCTATTATATATAATAAGAAAGATATCTCACAATCAGTGTCATAATCAATGAGTATGGATGTAAACTTTTTTCACTTGATTAAAATTATTTTTTTAATAGAAATAATTGAAATGGGTGTTGTTTTCACTGCCACATTGCCTCTGGGTATCTCAGTTTGAACTTTATATAATTCATTATTTCAGTCATATCATCCCTCTCTCCCTTATATTTTTAATTTAATTTATTTTTGTTTCTACATATTTATTTCTGTGAATGACCTGGGCTGTCATTGAGAAATATTTAAAGAATTACAATATGTTCTCTTTTCAAATTATAACACACATACGGATAGTAAATGTAATCACTTAAAAAACAAACAAATAAAAATTATTCTCGAAAAGCATTATTGTTCTTCATATTTTATTTTTTCTTATTATTTTTTTAAACAGGTATTAAAGTACCACTTAAATCGTTACAAAAAGATTTTTTTTAAAAACATATTTATTGAGAGATGTTACAATCTGTCACAATTAAGGAATTTATAATAGTGTTCAAAGAGCACATTTTCACTCTATTCACAATAAATAATACAGAAAAATAATAATGCTAAAAGTAAATGTATAAAAACTAAAAAAAGACTAAGCTAATGAAAATAACTACTCAAATACATCCATGCTTCTATACAATATCTAAAAAAAAAATTCATTCACTCAAGATCTCCGAGCCAAGCCTTTCTCCCCACTCGTGGAAGGAAAGGCAGGACTCTTATGAGATCCCAGCGCCCCTCACCCAGCCGCACTACTGGTATTAAAGACCAATAGAGGCTGAGCAGAGGCGCTAAATACAAAAAAAAATAAAAAAAGAAATGTGTGTCAGGTAATGGCACAACTCAACATTGATTTCGTGCAGATCTGTTCAGTATAGTGTTATCACGTGGTTTCTAGAAGCCAAAGCGGAACTTCCTAATGACTTGGATCTCGAATCTCCGAGGCTGTTTCCAAATAAAAATAATTTTAAACAATTTAGAAAAACAACTCAAAATGAAATTCAGATTCCGCTTCTGCAATACAACCTTCCAAAGTTTCGGTCTTATCGCGTTGAGCAATATTCAAATAGCTGAATTTTCGAAATTCTCAATGCGAGTTCTTCAAATTCTTCCTTTTGAAACCTATTTTTGTTTTATTTCTCCTTCGGTAGAATATGCGCACAAAATATTAATATGAAAATGGATTGAAATATTATAATAATGTCAGTTTCGAATAATTGCCAAAGCTTCCAGTCCAGTAACAAGAATGTAGCAATTAACGCCTGGCATGGGATGATCGTACTTTTAAGTCAATTACACAAGATCCAGGGGTGATGACCCTTGGTCAGCTTTCAAAGAGTTTAGCGGTAATCTCTGATCAAAGGTGCATTCACTTAATCTCGGCAAAGAAGTGCAAGTAGAAATCACGTTTGATGAAACGCTGTTACATAATATGTATTTACCTGATAATTATTTTTTATTTAGAAATATAGTATACTTTGATATTGATTCACAGACCTTATTTTTTTTTATTATCTGTTTGTGGTACTGAAACTTACAAATTTAAAAAATACATAAATCCATAAGTAATGGTTGTATGATTCCTTCCATCATTAAAACCCCCAACGAGAGAAAGCAGTGTAGAGAAGAAGCGCAGTGAATGGGGACGGGTCGCTGGGTTTCACAATGGATGCACTTGGCACCTATTGCCAACTCGTATTATCTCCTCTTCTGGCCTACGTTCAAGCATTTGTTTATAAGCAGATTGCGAAAATTGTCTCAAATAAACACATTTTATTTATATAAGTTTTGAATGTTTCGTTATTGTAGACTTCTTATAGAGATAGATTGAGAAGATAAACATAATGACATGAAAAGGCTTGTAGAGAATGCTTATTAGAAAAAAAAAAACTACCCGTTTGTAGTATTCTAATATAATTTCTAAATTAGGGAACCACAAGGTATTTTAGACGCCTTGGAGGATTATGATGGATCGAAGTGGAAGCAAGGTTAGAAACGAGTGGGTTCGGATGATTCTAAAGTTTGTTAAGGAAGGAAAGGTATCTACATTAGGACAAATCGGAAACATATGAAGAATTAATACAATTTTCATTAATACAATTTTCTTTTATTTATTCATTATATAAATCTGTTTATTTTGTGATTATTCCCTGATGCTCCAAAACCCACATCTCCATCTCTGTACATTATTCTAAAGGGACTTGTCCCAGATTAAATAAAGCATTATTATTATTATTATTATTAAGGTCATTATGGATGATTTTATATGTGAAAAAATGTGAAGCATTAAGGATTTTACGAAGGACTTTGGATTGTAAGGATTGGATATGATGGACGGATGGATTCGATGGTTCTGTGGAACCCCATAGTCCAACTCTGTAGTCCAAATAGGCCTCATTATAGCCATGCATATTCGTCTTTTGTAATTTATTTGAAATTTAAAGCGTTTTCGTGTAAGTGCTGAAGTAGCCGGAAGTTTACGTAAAAGAAGTATTATGCTCTTTCGATTCTGATGTCTAGTAAAAAGTTCAAATTTATATATATTGTAAGCAAAAAGTTAACCTTTTTCTGCTTTCCTATTACAAATTACTGATTCCACTAAAACATCTGCACTTTAACTATAAGCATTGTGATGCATGTAATCACAATTAACACATAACGTACTGTAAAAAGATGTAAATGATAATTTAAAATAAAAACTATGACATAATGTGTATGTGGCGAAAACTTGCCTCGGACATCAACTAGTGGGCCATATATACCTTATTCGGTTTCAGTCGGAAGAAAGCGCGAATTCGGTAACCGGGCTAAGAGATCTCACGTTCCGCCGAACCAGACGATGTTACGTCATCGGATACCTCCCTGCGTGGTCCTTGCTACATCGCTTCAGCTTCCTATAAGCCTAAAAGTGAGATCGGGGTGTCTTAACCAACCATATGCGTTTTCACTGCTCACACACACAAAGAACCTTTTTGTGCTTTATAATAACATTTAAACTAATTGATGCGGTCAGACGATGATACATAGCTTCCAAACAGATTCACATAATAAAACATATAATGGTCACACAGATAAACACAGCTCACAGGTAAACTAATATCCTGTACCTGTTTTCCTGTTGTTGCGTAAATCACAATAAAATACTCGAGATAAAGGACCGAGAATTTCACAATTTTCGAGAGAAAAAAACATCTAAAGAGATTTAAAAAAAATGGAAAGTGGTAGTGTGCTTCTATCGGTCCTTTCGTTGTGTAATATCCAATCTTCAATGTGTGTAGGTCGTTCACTCACACTTTGGCAATCTCATCCTGTAACAGAAATCTTTTTCCAGTTTCTAAATTTTCAAATAGGAATTAGAAAAGAAGTTATAAAAATATGCATGATTTTATTAAAATTCAATGACTTCATAAATCAAGTGAAGTAAGTCCTTCGTTGATGGACAATTATGGATTATTCATCATTTATCTTGTCAGTACCAAAAATTACGACGTTATATGGTTATCTAGAAAAATGAAACGTGGATTGCATCCCGGATTGCTAAACTTAACATAATAGCTTGGAAGACGGTGTGCAAAACGTCGAATCATTAATTTCAAGAACTTCTTGGTGAACTTTCTCTTTCTAATACCAACTCCTATAAGAAAAAAAAAAATATATATATATATATAAACATAATTATTAATTAATTAGTAAGGTCACTTAATAATTATTCATTAAACTTTTCATTGATCCTGCTGTTTATTTGACGTTTCGATCCCGTTTTTTTTTTTTTTTTTTTTTAATTTTACAATGGGATCTTCTTCAATGCTAGAACAACAAATAGCTCAATCGGTGCACAATTATGCTTCCATATGTTTCAAATAACAATTATTTCAAAATTCAACCTAATTTTAAAATATAGCCTCGATACCTGAGGCCAGGGACACACCGACAGCCTCAGCACCGTCCACTAGCACTGATATTAAGCTACTGGACCGCTAAGCGTCTACCCACCCCGGTCCTGAGCCCGAAGGCAATATATATATATATATATATATTCGAACTAATTTTAAAAAATATAAATAAATATCAACTGCTTAAAATATATATATATATATACTCGTCATCATATAAAATATCAGCATTATAAAATCATGAAAACATATTAAAAAAGCTCAACTATAGTTCCCATTCTTTAATTGTATTTTAACCCTTACTAAACAAATCAACCGGTAACCAGTCCTAAAAAACCAAACGAAATCTCTCATCTAACTCATACCAATTTTAAAATGTTGCTATACGCACAATTCAATTTCGCCAAATCATTCCAGGTATTTATTACGTTTTTGGTCTTTCCAATGTGCATCATCTTTATAATCAACAGTTTTTGTTGATTCTTTTCCATGTCTAGTATCTTGACTTTATCGAATTCAATCTTCTGCTCATTATTCTTTATAAAATTAATTTTTGTTTTTTATTCAAAGTGCTATTTATTTATTCTGACGTGAATGCACACGGACTGGACGTGTTACGACGCATCCCTCATGTATTCCGGGATTCGAATCCGTCAAGATGGTACCTAATAGTCGCTGACCGCTACTTTAACAGAGGATGACAGTAACTTCAAACAAGTTACACAAGAACACTTTCAGACCAGAAAACCGTCCTGCTTCGGCATATTGCAGGTGCATGTCACGGTGATGAACCTCACTAACTGCAAGTACTTCAACATTTAGAAATCGGTAGGGATGTTGTAATAATGGCGCTTGATAAACGACCAACGTAAACAAGTGCATTGATACCATTCATTTATTATTCACACATATAATTCACCGTCCATTGCATTTACATAACAACTGTCAGGAAAGAACAATAAATAGCCATGAAATCTATGTGCAGATTATGTGTTCTTAACAGTGTAGCCTAGCTAAAATTTGGAATATTCTTTTTAGTTCCTTCTATTAAATTTAAATTATCTAATAAGAAAACACAGCCGAGATACTCAACACCGTGAGCACAGACGTTTCATTTTGATTGGTGCCAATAGACAAAAAAAAAAAAAAGAAAATTGCCTGAGTGTAAAATGATATACACAAGGTGATTCAGAGCTAAGTGGCCAAACTGCGAAAATGAACTAAGGACCTCAAAACAAGAAAAACAATTCCTATGAAGTTATGTCCGCAAACGCTTTGTTTAGGAGATATGCACACGTTAAGATTTTCGTTGTTATGAATTATTTACGTTGTATAAAATAAATAAAATCTATTTATTTGTTCTATCTACTTTATTAATTAAATGTAAACATGAACACACATATTAAATGTCGTTCAAAGTGAAGGTTTTACGAACACACCTTCATACTATTTGGAATTAGCATTGGGAACTCTCAATAGCATTTACCAGTTTGTATAACATCCACAATTACGTACCAGGAGCTCTTCTCTTATTCTGTCATTTCTTATTCTATTCCTCTAGGTTGTTCCCAATATTCTTCACAAGGATTTCATTATTCGCCACTTTTTTTAAAACTTCTTTTTTAAACCTTAAGTTGAGATTGTTAGGCAGTAAGTTAGATTCATTTCTAGCGGTGTAAAAAAAGATGTGATTTGATAAGCCACCCCAAATAATCGGGTTTCAGCAAAAATATCCATAATAGATCATTAAAAGGCTTTATTTTCTTGCTTTTCTGTGATCTGGGATATATTCTAATAAATTAATAACAAAAATACACTTTCCATCGAAAAAAAAAGTATAATAACTATACTCCTTTTCCGAAAATCCATAATCTAAAATGATAGTGAACTGTATTTTTTAAGTCCCCTTTACTTGGTTTTAACAAACACAAGCCCTGCTTGTGTGTAGTGTTGCCCAAAATCAGTCTGTGTCTTGCAAGGTCGTCTAACTGTTGCAAGACAAAGACCAGGACTAGTAAAAAAAAAATCGATTTTTAAAATAAAAATTAAGGCAAAATAGTTGCTTGTACTTGACAATCTTAGTTAATAATTGGTATAAACAATATACTTTTGTATATAATACCTTTAATTTTTCATTTAGGCTTTTCGTTTCTCCTATCTTAAAAATTACAGTAGTATCTCTATATTAATAAGCTAATATGTAACTGCAAGACTGTTGCGAGATTCTTGCGCAAGAGAAAAACCATGACCAAGACTGAGTTTGCAAGACCAAGAATCGTCTCGGTCTGGCGATTGGGCAACAATACTTGTGTGTGAAAAATAGTTTTTCTAGTTCACTATGAAGATGGTCTGAATCATATCTCATTATACTTATTGTCCACATGACAGATTATTGTATTTCTAAATAAATAAAATAACTATGAAGCAATTTTTAATTATTTAAATTAAACATTTTTAGGTATTATCTCTATTAAACAAAAACCACGACTTACTTGAAAAAAAACACAAAACTTAAATTACTTGCATTTCTGGTATAAATCAGACCATGTTTTTTTTAAAACAGTTTTTGTAGATCATATCTTTAAATATTTGCCTTTATTTTATTATTATTACTCTAATAATCTAATAATACTCGCGGCTCTACGACCCACACGCTGAGTCTCGGCCTGCTCCAGCATTGACCGCCTGTCAATTTCTGTTTTTATTGTTTGTTGTGAGTAATATTAGCCTTTACTCTGTATAACATCTGTTGGAAACTAACTTCAGTATAACTTCAGGAGAAAGTGGTCCCAACGTCAAAAGCGCAGGAAGAACGGGAAATGCAGAAGGATGCAAGGTCCTTCGGAAGTTGGCTGAGGTAACAGTTGCGGCCTTGCGAGGGCCAACGGGATACTGACCTCACTTTCACCGCACATCACTAGTTAGAAATAGGACAAAATTACGTATAATTTATTACGCGTATGCTAATTATAAAATTATTTATTAATACCGATTTGTTTTTTTATTATATTATGGATTTAGAACGAACTGCTTGCATCTAAAACTCGTTTGGTTCAGCTTCATCACGTAATCAATCCTTCAATGGCTAGTTGTTTGTAATTTTTCCACGCTTAACGTAAAATGAAGAGAAAAAAACGTTATTATTGCATTACTAACAAGAATTTAATCTAAAAATTCTTTGTCTTTAAAAAAAAAATCAAAGACCACTAGATTTTTATTGCTATAATTTAAAAAACAAATAAACAATATCATAAAAGTATAATGATCCGCCTAAGAAGAAAATTTGGAGGACTCTAAGTCAGCTGCTTGGCTTTTTTTGGCTTGGATGTTTTTCCAATACTTTCAGAAAACATAAAAAGATTCTAGGAGACTTAAGAAAGTTTGAGACAGCCCTGGTAGAGAAAAGTGAAGGAAGCAAAGCAGTACAAGTTGATCAAGAAAGATGTACACAAGGCACTAATCACAGGATACAATCATTTGTTTCTTCTTGTGCCATTATCATATCCGACATCCTTTTCCTATGGCTATACTCTAGATGAGATCCCGTATTACTTAGAGGAAGTAACGCATTACCTTTTTGGACTCTTACCATTTACTTCTTTTCAATTGTTCCCGTTTCCCGACCCGTTTGCATAATCCAGTTCCACATTTGGACAGCTCCAGCGTGCGGAAGAAGCTGCTTGTGACTTCACTTCCCCACATCTCGGCATTACGCAAAGTCGTGAGAAACTGGGGCGTCGCGTCATGGCTGCTTGGAGCTACTGACAGCTTTAATTCAGCCTACCAAAGAAATATTTTATGGCCTGTTTGCCGTGCTCATATGTTGAGAATTGTGAATTCTGTGATGTTGCTGTAGCATGTCTAACAAATTTATAAAGTCATCTTTATATAATCCGATAAATTGATGGACATATAGCTGAGCTGATTGGAGATTATTGGAGGAACTGTCAGAAATGCTACACACAGTAAGATTATATGTATTGGTACAATTATATTCCATGTATTGATGTGTACCGTCGTTTCGGATTAAGTTTTGAATGTTCATCAGGGTTTTATTGACGATAGAAGTCGAACAAATAATCGATGACGTATAGAATTTTTTTTTAATCTACTACGTAAAATTTAAAGAATATATAATGGAATATATTTTAACGATAATGATTAGGTTATACAGGGTTTTTAAGAGTTAAATGGACAAACTGCAAAAGCTAAAGATTTTCGTTGTTATGAATTATTTACGTTATATGAAATAAATAAAACCTATTTATTTGTTCTTACTACTTTATTAATTAATATAAACATTAACGTTCTTATCAAATGTTGTTCGAAGTGAACGTATGTCCGCAAACACTTTGTATACAAAAGGAGCTTTGTTTATCTTGGGGCTGAAGCCCACTCCTCCTCAAAGTAGTAAAATATAACCATGTTTTATGAAAAAAATATTAAAACATTGTCTGTTAAAGTATTATTGTTAGTGTAATTACATTTAAAAGGACTTTAAGAATCACGTAAACACCATTTCATATAGGTAGTTAGTTTCTTTCTTTTTTTCCAAAGTAATTATCGTTATTTTTATGAAAAAAAAGTTTTCGGGCTGAAACCCCTCCCAAAATTAAATTCTAGATCCGCTAGTGAGAATAATTAAGGATTTTATGAACTAATTGTTATGGGTTATAAAGAAATTGTTTTGGTTAAGTATCTTTCGTTGTTTTTCTTATAACATATTTTTTTTTTTACTTTAAAATTTATTATAGATATACGAATAAATCAGTTTACAAGAATGTCTACCGTCGTAATGATTAACAAAAACAACACTTATATGATACGTTTTTCATAAGAATGTTTTAACATATTTCTGAAATGTTGAAAGTCAGTAAACAAGTTAAGCTGTTTTCTTACCGTATGATTTCTAAAATATTATAATACTAAAACATTACGAGAAAACGAATATTAACCAAAAGCGAATTGTGTAGGGTAAATTACTATTAAACGAACTAAAGTTTTTTTTATTTATCAAATAATAAATAAAAAAATTAAAGAATATATAAATATTAATGATTTTATGGAGTTCAGTTTTAGTAATACGCTTTCACTCACGATTTTACGTGAACTTTAGAACAATGGTTTCGTGGTGAGCTTCGACCTCAGCGAAAGTATACCCAAGTTTTCTTAAACCATAAATTTTTTTTTTATCAAACTTCATAAGAAATTTCAATGAAAGAAATTCAAAATGACTATTCCAGTATGTGGTTATGTTTCATCAAGTTTACTTATATTTCTTCTTTCAACTTAGCTGAAGTACACCTTTTTTTAAAGTGTTTATAAATGTTGGATTAGAAATAGAAAATAACTTTATTCTGGGACAAAGTCCCTTTAGAATAACAAAATAGTACATTATTAAAAGACTACATCTGGCCAAAATAAAACAATAATAAAAAAAGAAGAAGTAAAGAAAATATTAGTTAAACAAGCTATATAGAAAAAAAATCTATATACATAACACTTAAAACTATGATAAGACACTTAAAACTATGTACAGTAGGAAAAAATATAATTATACTCTTTTGAAGAATAAAATAATAAAAAATACATTGAGTTCGTCTTTAAAATAAGCTGTGTTTCTGTTAACAGGAAAGACAAATTTGACAATATAAAATGTCAGAGTATTTAAATAATGAATATGTATTATGTATTAGGCTTTCCGATGCTCGTATAAAGTTTTATAATCAGTTTCCTAAAAAGAAGTATTGAAAGATTTGAAGTAAAAATCTTTCACACGATAGCCAGCCCTATCTGGGATTAGAGTACTAATGCATCGAAGAGAAAAGGTACGACAAAGAACTGCTTACAAAAACTAGTCAATTGATATCTCACGATATGAAGGCAAGGAGGTCAAGATGGACAGGGCATTAAACTCTATCAGGAAGTCTCTGCGCAACAATGAGTTTCTCAATAGTAGGCAAGAGATCATTTGGATGGCCACAAATAAGGTGGATAGATGGAATCAATAAAGAGATGATATAGCTGGTCCGACAGATCTACAAACTTTGTTTCAGAATATAATTCGTTTCAGTCTATCTAATCTAAAGTGTTTATTATTTATCTCAATTTTTATTAAATTACATTATCTAATTTCAGCAACATATATCCATTAAATTAATTTACTTATTGTGATAACGATTACTTTATGAGAACGTCATGCTACATAATGTCTAACAATTTGTTGGAAATATTATATCAAGTTGAAATTAGAATAATATAAACTGATAATTTTTATCGATTGTACAGCAAACAAAAATGTGATATAATGATACTAAAATAAAATATAAGTTCCAACTGAAAACATAAAAACAAAGAAAAAAAATATGTCGGATAAAGGCAGACTATTTTAAAAGGATCAAGAAAAATAAAACATTGTTTATATTGCTTATTATAATTTATAAATAATATTGTTCTTTCTTCATTATCGATTGAAACCGAAAGGGTTGGGAATTAATTGCTTTTTTCTTCAACAAACAAACGTATTAGTAGCCCCTACTATATGTTATAAGTTAGAGTTCAATGGATTCCGTAACTTGGGGATAAAGAATGAGATAATTGCTCTGCTCAAGTCCAGTTTCTTCGATGGAGGCCGTTCGAGAAGGCAAGTTCACGAACAAGGTCTTAGAGGTATAAACTAAAAGGAGTCAGTGATTTTTTCTTCATGCGTGGTCTTTCATTCCACAAAGGAGTTTTGAGACTTACATGGGTGTTATATCACTTCATTTAAATTTTAACTATTGTTAAATTCGGAAGGGGGTATACAGTCGCATACAGAAGATAGCCCGAACGACTCGTAATGTTTTTAATTATAGGATGATTGTAAATTCTTAAAGTAAATAAATAATAAAGAAAGTTAAATAAAATAGTGATGAAATAAATAAAACTTATATGAATGAGAAATGCTTTATTAAATATGTATAAATTATAAATTTCCAAAAATACACAGAACATTTATAAGGCATGATCATTCGTCTGCCGGAAATTTTATGTTAATTATTGAATTTTTTACAGTTACAGCACAAATAAAGACTTTATAACAATTACATATACATGAATAACTGATAAATAATAAAATAACTAATAAAATATAAAATGATAAATATTTCGAATAATTTATGTCTAAGAAATAATAATTTAGGAAAATAAGGGAAATCATAAACAATAATATGAATAAAACTGACCACAAATAAATTAGACGGATCATTCATTGTTTATGCTGGATGTAGCAAATTAAAACGGTCTATCCACGCATGTTAAGCAAAACCGACAATTTTACGACCTACATTTGGAACCGGGCTAGTTCCAAGATATTTGACGATACGAATTTGACCGAGCGTTGAACACTCAGCCAAAAAATGGACCAGGTCCTCCTTTACTGGTAGGTTACAGAGTGGACAATCCGTATATTCCCTGTCAAGCCATGGGATGTAATTCAAATAAAGGAGTTCACACCTGAGCTTGAACAACCAACTCGACTCGCGCCCAGTCAAATCCCAACAGCAGCCATCCACGAACTTCAAAATTTTAAGACCATGACTCAATTCCATATACAATAGAAGTCGATCAGAATTCCATGCCGTTAATTACACTGTATATAAATAAAACTTATACACAATATTAATAAATTATATTTATAAGAAATTTTAATAGTTAAAATAATGATATAAGTAAGTCTAATATATGAGTAATAAAACATGAAACAACTTATAAAGAAATTCACCACAGATCAATGATTATCCAAGTCAGGAAATTCCACTCCATCTTCTTTTCAGATGCTTCTAAGGGTTATCGGAAATAGAGCTGTTAAAAAGCGTTACGAACTGTTGCATTTGTAGCTTGCACCCAAAGATAAATAAAGATATATATCTATTCGTACTTCAGTTCGACAACCTGAATATGTTTGTAGATAATTTTTGTTATGTAGATACTTTTATTGTAAAGATTTTATATGACATCAATTTTGTTGAGCCGCTAACATAAATTAAATTTAAAAAATAAATAATTATTTTAAAGGTCACATACATGGGGCTAATATGTTACTATCACAGCACGTCCACGAAAGTCCACAACCTGTTTCCTCGGAAATCTCGTTTATTCTGGGACAACGTCCCTTGAGAATAACAATATTGTACATAAAATTAACATTAAATCTGGCCAAAATGCATATTACAATAAACAAAACAAAAAAAAAAAAAAAAAAAAGGGATAAAAGAAGTATTTACTGTTATATATATATATATAACAAAATAATAAATAATATTAAAAAAGTAAATAAAGGCTTAAGGATAATTATCGATATTTTTCCTACCGATATATCTATTATGGGTTGATATTTTTATGGATATTAAAATTTGACTACCTAATACTGTTACTTAAAAAGAAAAGAAAGAAGAAATGAATGGTCAAAAAAAAAAAAAAAAATATTAAATATTAATTGAAGAGAAGCTGATGGGGTGTTCAGTCAAAAATAAAAAGTAGAAATAAATAAATGATATTTATTTTTATTTTTGCCAACGTTTTGGCCCAAAAGTTAGGCCTTCGTCAGGACTAATCTCATGGTGATCATTTAATGTTAATATAAGCCGCCATACTGATCTTCGCATAAAACGAGATTATTTTTTAAAATGGCGTGTGATTAATTATGAAAATTAATATTTTTTTTTATACCTTAGTAACGAGATATATATATATATTTTATATTAAAAATAATAACTCCTTTAATA